TCACTTCAAAAGGTCACTGCTAGATACAGCAACAACTGACCTCCCGGTCAACTGTAGATCAAATTTTCAATGAATTTAAAAAATTTCATCTCTGTATGTTAATATGCAAACAGTAATTAGAACATAAATTCAATTTTGATCGCTTTAAGCAAAAAATAATTCAATATTTGCAAAATTAGACGCTGTTATTGCCTCTCATAAAATTTTAAAAATGCTTAAACCACTTGTCTTAGGCTGGTACTTGCCACCTGTTCGATGTATGTGTGTCATCGCTTCGAAGCTCTCCCAAGTAGTCGTTCATTTCCACTCATCAATAGAGGACACTCAGTGGCTGAGCAAAGCGAAGAATATGCATATCAAATTTTACTTTCTCGCACAACTGTAATTATATCCTGCACACAGATTCTGACTAAAGGTCTGTCCTAAGGGGCTTTACTGATGATTCCCATCCCTAACCACACCTTACACTGTCTGTGTTTACAGCTAAGGGAACTTACTCGATATTCCTGGTACATGACTATTCAACATGTCAAAAGATTTGTACCACATTAACTAGCCAACTATCTTTCCCATTACAATTCACTATAGAGCTCCACCCTTACACCTTTAAAACTTAGGGGATTCAGTCGTGCTGAATTTTTTTTGCTTGGTTCGGCCGTTTTGCGAGATGATATGCTTCGGCCCACCTACGGCCACAAAATATTACTTTACAATTTCGAACTCCTCGTCGGTCCTGCTTGGATCGTCCAGTTTTGGTCTGGGCTTCTATGGCTCTTTTATTCTTTTAGAGTTACAGAGGGATTTAAGAGGCACCCAAAAGCTCAACCAAAACAAAACGGCGAATCTGCCAGCTGCACCAATGGCAAGAAGGAATGAATCTATGCAACAACAGCTGCGCTCAAAATAGAAGAGGCGATTGCACAAAAATGGAAAATTCATAAAAAAACAGAACTAATTAAACCAACTGCAAACAAGCAAACAGTTCAACAGATTTGTGTACAGAGTCTGATCTATCAAAGCAAAAACATGTCAAAAGGTTTGTACCACATTAACCAGCCAACTATGAAGCATCATTACGGCAAGTGTTCGAGGTTGGCTTACAATCTTTATATTCCTGTAGATTTGGATTATCCAGATCTCCACGTCCACTGCTTTCGTCCATTCCCGGGAAATTTGAAAGTGGCGAGCCAAAATTTTTTACACATGCACATCTGAAACAAATGAATATTCAATTTTAGCAATTAGAGAGGGGGGCCTTGTACGGCTGAACATCATTTTAACTTAAAAGATGTTATTAATCGCGAGTTTACCGAGAAGATTTTGATGCAGGATCAAACAGCTTCCTCGGGACTCCACTCCATTCCCTTTCAATGCCACCACTGCAATTAAAAAATTCTACTAGACGGGGAAAATAAGGTTTTGGGAGAAAAGCAAAGATTTCACAAGTTCCAGTGATTATTTTCGACTGTCTTCTACGCCTTACGCCTCTTGTTGTGAATTCGCAACACCACTTTTTGTATTTACGCAAATGTAAAAAAGTTTACTGACAGGGATCTTTGTCTGTGTGTGTGCGTTTGTGTATGTGTGAGTGTGTGTATGTGCGTGTGTGTATGTGCGTGTGTGTATGTGCGTGTGTGTATGTGCGTGTGTGTTTGTGTGTGTGTTTGTTTGTGTGTATGTGTGAGTGTGTATATGCGTGTGTGAGTGTGTATGTATGTGTCTGTGTGTGAGCGCGTGTGTGTGTTTGTGTGTGTGTGTGTGTGTTACTTCGGCGGCCGCATTAATTAATAAAAACTGAAGACTTTTTGAGCTTAGGCCTTGGCTTTGTAGTGGCTTGGTACTAAAATATCTACCTTCTAACTCACTAAATTTTCTCTCTATGACTTCAAATGAGTGGATACCAATGCGTATGCAGCTTACTGACAGGATTTTTTGAATGTGTTTGTGTGTGTATGTATGTATGTATGTGTGTGTGTGTGTGTGAGCGTAAGTGTGTGTGTGTGTGTATGCGTGCGCATGTGTATGAGTTTGTGAGTGTGCTTTTATGACTGTCACCCATTCGTAACTCCGATGGCTACATCAGTTCATAAAAATCCCAGACCTTCTAAAGTTAGGCCTTGGTTTTGCAAAGGCCTAAATTCAGAAAGTCTCGAGTTTACCAAAATACCTAAATACCTTCCTATTAATTGACTAAATCTCTCGCTATGACTTCAAAAGAGTGAATATCAATGTGTGTGAATTCTCCTAAACCGCATTTAAAGAAAGCATAAAATTTAATTTCGATGGAGAGCGCATTCTGACCAGTCCTTGATGTGAACAGCTATTCATTAGTGGTTGGAACCATAAATGATCAAAACTGCTATGCAAGCTGTTTTCAAGGAGTAGATCATTATTATTTTTCATCAAAAACCATAAACGTTCAGTAGCAAAATTATTATTTTTTAAGGAGAGAACTGAAGAAATGCATTAAGGAAACATCGTCCACAGTACGTTCTGGAAAAAACATGAAGTATAAGAGCATGTAACAAGAAAATACCTTTTTTTCGAGCACCACACACGACCACCAATGTCTTTTCGCCATTCTGAATTGCACGGTGGAAAAACTTTCGTCTCCTCCGCTTGGATATCTTTCCAGTTCAGTGAACTGTCAATTAATTCTACCACTTCCTTAAATTAACAATCATTCCCTACGAAAATATCTCGATCAAAGAACGGCCAATAAGAAAAAATATCAGAAACAGTAACTGCAAAGAAAAACGAGCAATTTGAAAACATCTTGCCCGACATGTAAAATTAAGGGCTAAACAGACGTTAACGGAACTTTTTTGAGGTAAAACAAAAAAAAAGGCAAAAAAGGATGACAGCACTGTTCGGGAAAAATGAGTGTACTAAAGAAAAATGAGTGTACTCTGGTCTTAAAAACCCAAGTAACAAACGATTGTAAATGTAGTACTTGGACAATTGAGTGAAATTACTTGGATTTTTGGGTGTTGCTGCTCATAGCTAAAGTAAACAACCCGAACCCATCCTAGCAATATTTCATCACTGTTCAATTAAAAGTTGGCAAGGGGAGGTGGTGGAGTTTAGGACCGGGACGAGACCACTGCATGGGGTCCGCACCCACTTCACTCAATTGCGTTGAGGTTTTGTGAGGCGGTTTTTTGGCAATTACAATAATTATTGAGTTAACTCTATTCGGCTCGGCTAGTGGATGGCCGGTGTTTGGATAACGTT